AACCAACGGTCATCGCCAAAACAAACGTCCTCTCGGTGTAACGGGGACTGGTGATGACGTAATCACATCGGTCATGTGCTGAAATCATGGACATGCGCAGAACGGTCCCTGCTCGGGCGCCATTTTTGTAGCGCTACTTTGGTTTTCCGGTAAGAAAGCGGTCGGTTCGGGGTTTTCGGAAAACTCGGGCGCCACCCTTAGGATTAAAGTGGTTAAGGGCCCACGTGCACTAGGTAGCTTTTAAACAGTGGAGACGGAAAAACCAGAGGTCTATGCGCATTTTCCCCAAAATGAAACACACAATATCCAACAATGTAGTTTTTATTAATTCCCAAAAGTAAATAACAATACGAAACGGATGAATGTAAATACGAGGTAGCGTGAATGAAAATTAAAGTGAGTGCGAGAGAGAGAGTGTGCGAACGAATACTGGCGGCGGGTGAATTACGTGAATGAGAAGCGACGGAAATGAAAGCCCCCACGGTACGGTAAAACGGTAAGAAAGAACGGAGATTGTAGACAGCCGAATACGGAAATACGGAAAAACTCTAGTAACGGCGTTACAACAGTTATAGGTTGTTTTTTACAAATCATCCTGTATTTCGGAAACTAATGGAAATTTGGCAACAACGAAAATATTTTTCAATAGGCTTTGATTTCCGATATACCAATGGTAACCCTTGGTATTTTAGACACCCCGTATATCAATCGGAACAGCAATATTGTTTTATAAATATGCCAGATCAGTTCTGGTATATCTTTTTTATGGTTTTAGAGGTATGTCTATACGAAGTTACTTGGACAGGCCTGAAATAGTGGCATGGTCAATATACTGCATCACATCATATAAATATGTCAAAATTTATACTGATTGCTCATCGTACCGTTGGAAGCCAGACAAGTAGGGATGGATAGATCGATTGGCTCCTTTTACAGTTTACACGTTCGATACCAGTCAACGTGGACTCGATAGATCTGATTGGTCATTGCCGTTTTTTGATTGGCCGACATACTATTTCATTTCATTCCCGATTATCGGCGTGAGTGACAGTGCAGTGCATCACCTACTCTAGTATATTCGATATTGATTGTTAATTTGAGTAGGTAGCGCCTATTGAAATTACGCCGCCCATGTTTGACTAGTCCAAGTGACTTCGTATAGACTTTATCAATTTCGGAAATTGGGCTTTAGTCATTTTTTTTAAAGGCGGTCATAACCAGTAGTTTATACTTTTTTTTAACACATACAATGAGTAAATTCAACGCACCCATCCCTTGAAGACGTCGCCTACATTCAATCGCTAGGCTCGATGCCGAGCTACTGGAGGAATATAATGGGCCTATTGTGGCATGAGTTCCATGGCATCTACCACCCTCAAATACTCACATATAAAGATAGGGGAGAATTCTTCGGAAGTCAAGAAATTTATTTTTCGTAAGGCTTTCTTTCGGTTTCTGGTTCAAAATCGAATTCTATCCAATGAAAATAGTTAATTATTTCAACAGATGGCGCGTTATTTGAACATATTCGAGAGAATAGTGCAGAGCATCTACTGTCGACTCTCCATAGACTCAACAGATAGCTTCAATCACATCTGTATCAAATAAAATATGTCCAGCTATGGTTTACTAATTTGGAAACTCAAATAAGATGGTAGAGCAAATTACATGAGAGATTTACCATGAAAAATCGTTTTCCGTTTGACACGTTACAGTTTCCTCAGACTAAAATAAAAGTTATTCTCTGAGAATACCCAAATGAAGTTGGGATAGTATGGATTATTTTTGGAGAGATTTTAGTTACTTGCATCAAGAACGGCAACAAGTGCGACTTACTAGTTTACCTGCAAGTACAAGAAAACACTAAATCCAGTGACTGTATCAAGTATTGTCTAATCCAATGATTGCCACTGACTTCGATGGAGATAGAATAATTCTATTATTTGCCGGCGCAGTAATGAATAATCAGTTTTCAGGTTTTTTCCTCTGTGATTCCCAGTCAGATGCGATTGTAGCTTGTTTTGAACACACGGATAACATTTTCCTTGATTTCTGCTTTATCGAAAAAACAAAATCAATACTCCGCTTGCCCAAAGAAGAAATAGTTTTACTTCATAATCTCATCAGCAGAAAACTTTGTTATGTTTTCTGTTTCATGTTATTTCAAGAAAATTATCTCCTAGTTTTGAGAGTTTAACAATGTACAGAATGCCAAAGTACCTATGTTTGAAAATTATTTTTTTTTTCTATAGTAGTGCAATGTTCTGAGCTATAGTTCTAGAAAATTGACTTATGCTCCACTGTAGCTGAATTTACCATTTGACCTGCCATTTCACGTTTTCTTGGTCAGTCCATATAGCTTATTGATTTATTTTCGGTCCTTCATCTCATATATTGTAGTATAACATACCCCGGGTTCGTTCAGTAAGATTGAACGATGAGAATTTTTATTACCTTTTAATAACAAATCTTCTGAAAAATGGAATGAAAAACAAATAGGACCTACGTTGTGGAAACTTACTCAATTTTACTTACTGGACATGCGCCCGACATAGTAAATATTTGGGAAATTTAAGGGAAGTTGTGATATGTAAAAGAAACGAAAAATTTGTGAAACTTCTACTTTATTAATAAAGTAAATCGTACCGTTCTCATCCTGGAACTAACGAGGGGAAAGAGCACGGCAAAGAAACCCCCGATCTAACATTCCTCAAAAATCGAAACATAGTGTGTCATTTTAATAATTATTATGAGTCAATAATTTAATAATTCGTCAATAAAAGATTAAATTAGGTACCGCCCCTGTTCTTGTGCTAAAATTTCAATTACACACACTACATTCAATCAACACTACCTATATTCAATACTGAAGAGTTTTTGTTGTTAGCCAGTTTCCCAGCAGGTACTGAGGTCCCATACAGGAAGCTACTCAGCTATAGTTGTTTTTGAGCCAATATCTCTAGATTGATTATTTCAATTTGCTAGAATATTCTCTCGTCAGGGTAGGAAAATGTTAGTAAATTCAACAAGGCCCTAATGCACGCTCTGAATACACAAAATCAAAATGTCAGCACAAAAAGGCAGCACATAATTTCCTAGGTTCTAATTTACTTCTTTATCTGTGTTGTTTAGAGCATGAAACGATTTTTGTTAAATACATGAACAATACACATGTTATAATTTTTTTTATAAACAAACAAAAAAATATAAAAATGGAAAAAATTATACTTGTATTAATAATTCAACTCTCAAAAACAAAATAACAATTATTCAACTAACCTATGATCTCTCCTTGACACACACACTAATAACAAATTGGATTGAACAATCAATTTAATGCAAAATAAAAATGAAAATTGAATAATGAATAATTACAGACACGCGTCAAAGGCACCAGCCCAGCAGCTTCTCTAGTCTAATGCCTAATCGCTTCTTCTCTACCTCCCGTTCGGTTCGGTACTTTAGTTTTCTGAGGCGCAGCACATGTTTGCAATATTTACTTTTATTCAGTAAACGGTTTTTTTTTTTTTTTTTCAAGTTAAGATTCAAAGAAATAATACTTTAAATAGGTGGTTTTCCTCATTATGTCCATTTACGCTTCCAGGTTTGACCTTTTCTTTATCCCTTCTGTGTCGAATAATTTATGTAAAGTAACACATTACAGTTAGCTATTTATGAAGGAACGCAATAAAAAGAGCTGTTAAATATGTTAGTTGAAAATGGAAAATTCCAAATTGGATGTAAGATTTATTCCTTTTTCCTATAGTTGATCCAAAACTAAATCTGTTGCACGTCACAATGCGTCCACCAGCAAATTAGATCCAAACGCAGTCGGTGTCATGGTACGCGAACTTGTATTGAACGCTCCTTGCCGCTTTTAATGTACCCCAAGCTGCTCAGGGGGCGCGCATGTTCATCGCTGGTAATCGATTTTAGTGAACGCCTTTGGATGTTGACGCTATCAGCTGTCATAGGTCGGTTGGTTGTCAAACAATTTTTAGTTTGTCAAACTTTTTATGAATCATTTTCATTAGTTGTAGTGTTTTTACTTCTACCCAGTTTTAGTTCAGGTAAGTTTTATCTTCATCATAGCGTCAATCCCATTGGTGATGAAATTGATGTGAAGACAAACAGAAAAAGTTCAATTATTATTTAAATATGTACCTAAATAAATAGTTATTTATACACCAAGTGAGTTAAATGAATGTTTATTCATGAGAAGAAAGTTTAACCCATGAGCCCTAGCGAGTATTATAAGTCCAACGATTGACAGACACGAGTTTTATTTTCCTATTTTATCCAAAAAACGTTTTTGGCGTTGACTAGATCGGTCTTGGTTATTACATATTATATTTATTTCTAATAATGAGGGATAAATATAATAACTAATGTTAAATCTGATCAAGGCGTAGAAAGATCATCCACAAAAAAAGTTTCAAATTCAAATATCCCGCCAAAATCATTTTACTTTGACCCAAGCCTATAGAGGCGCCACATATATGAGCTTTTTTTTAAGATGGGAGTTACATTCTATATCCCCATTTAAACCTTATTCTATGGTCGGTGTCATTGATGACGTGCAACGGATCTAGTTTTAGATCCGCTATATATTAGAGGGATTTTGGATTGACCCTTATTTGATGACAAAACTTGGAGGACAATATTTGGACATAGGTGGGGAAACCAACATACACATACCTTCTTTGAGGCGAAACTACAACACTTCCGAAATATCATTTAGGAGGTTTAAAAGTTAGGAATTCGATCCAGATTATTGTCATAGAGCTGTTTCCCTCATGTCGACGTCAAACCCAGCACCTCTTCGCTATCCGCAAATATCTATCGCAAACGTCTTTTATGTCCGCTTTGTCCAGTGCTCGATTTGATCCAAATAATAAAAAAGAACGGGGGTCACAAATATTAACAGTTAGGATAAATCGCGATATTAACCTTGTCTCTTGACGTTGGAAATAATAAAAGCGATCTTCTTTTGTCATACCTTGAGAATGGCTGTACGAGAGCCAAATTATTGCTCAAACTTTCCAGGTCTATTAATAAATGTATAGCATTATGTTTGTGAATTCTTAGTATGATTTGCCTCAAAACTCTTACTACTAGGCCTCAAACTTAAGTACATATTCTTGCTATGGATTTTCAGAGACTCTTTTAAAGTAACAAGTAACAAACACTCACTTGAAAAGCAACATTTTTCCGCTTTGATCGCGTATATACAGATGCATAGGAACACGAAAAATCCAGCTAAAAGTGCACCGGTCACGCTCGCCAACGTGCTTATTTGTAGTGGCTCTGGAAATCAAAATTAAATAAATCAATTAACAAAATTTCGGTTCGCCTGCTACTGTAATCAATTTTCGTTATGCTAGGCGCCAAAAAAAGGGATGCTCTTTTGCTGATTACAGAAATGAAAGTTAAAATATTTCCCAGGGTGAATTTCAAGGAAGAAATGGAAATGTTCAGTATTACTATTTTCCTGGTCATTCAAAACTTTCAATTTTTTTAAACGTTCCAGACCTCACTTCTTGCTTGTCTGGGGAGACGACGAGTTTTCCCCGGCGAGAACTATTTTGATTGCTTTTTCCAAGATAAAATATTAATTTTCTCGTAAATGGTGCGCATTCTCATACATTTAGGTCTGAAATATGATTTAAAATGGAATCGAACTAATTTTGTAGAGTCAAAATTACTATTTTATTCTAATAATTTATATGTATGTGGTTCCAAAATGTCAGAAACTTTGACTGAAACTGACTTTCAATATTCTGAAAAGCCTAAAGACTAATGATTCGGTTTCAGTCTCACAATCTGAAAATTCTCAAGAATTAGGCCTCGGTCTGGTATGTTTCCTCTGAGATTTGAGATTAAATGCAAATTTCATGATTTCGGCATTAATTCGAGAAATATTTGGTGTTTTTATGTTGAGTTCCATAAGTAATATTAAAACCGGACCAGACTAACTACTTGAGTACCCTGAAGGATCAAGAAACAAGAATCTCGAGGATTCATTAGGTCATGACATAAGAATCAACAGTCTGTAAACTGGAAACTCATTCAATATGAAACGTCAAAGCTCAGGACTTATTGATGATGATAACTCTGAAGGGTCAACAGTCCACATTTAAAATTCTGAAAACTCATGATTCTGAAGACTCCATTATTGAAAATTATTCCAAAATATACATACAAAAAGACATTGTGTATCTTATAATATAATAATATAATTTTACGAAGATATAGCGAAGGAAAATTTGTATTCCAAGCAATACAAATCTTTAAAAGTTACCAGTTTTAAAAGCGCTTTTAAGTTAAAACAGGATGTTGCATACGGCTGTAAGAGTTTTTTGATAAAAATTATGTGTTAATTTATAAAAAAATCCTGAGCAAGCAACAGCGAATATTGAAGAGTATAACAAATTTTATCATGGTTAGTTATGAGATTCACTTAAACTCAACACTATCCCAGATTGAAATATATAATGTGACGACTTTCTGGTTATATTATTCTACTTTTTTGTACCACTATACAATACAGTGTGCATGCAAATAAATGGATATAATCTCATAATCTATCAACTCAAAACTAATCAAGGATTATGTATCATGAACTTTACTATTAAATTAAATAATTCAAACTCAAACGTACCTTTTACTCCTTCATCGGTGGCTTAAAAACGATAAAAATTTTGGAAGTATGGAAAAAATAGCTCTCAGCTACAAAATCACCGCTCGAAAAAGTAAAACCGGAGAAAAAAATTGTCGACTGACCATTTACGTATAAATGAACGGCATGCGTATCATTGCCCTTGTCTTTTTCCACTAGCAAGTAATAGGTCCTCGATTCTTCCGCTTAAGTATCTTTGACGTGGCGTGTGCTTAAATAGCAGTCTTCTCCCGCCTCTTGAGTTACATCGTCTACTTTGAATTTTCCTGGAAAAACTGATTAATAGATAATAAGCAATATTTTATTTATAGAAACTTAAGAACGTAGTGGACAAGGTTTCAAGTCGAATTCTAGCCCCTTGCTAATGGAGTTTTTGCGCTCCTATGATTTATTTCCAGCTCTTGCATTGGGTCCTTGTGACTGAGCCTTTAAATAGGCATAAACTTCATTGTTGTATTGATAAAATTTCATAGAGTTAATTTTTGATAATACATAACATGTAGTTTGATTAATAAGCCATTAAATATTCTGAATACTGTGCAGGCAGAAATAATTAAATATCGCATACTATAGGCGGAACAAAAAGCAATTTCTTTTTGAGTGATCAATTTGCAAACTGAAGATAATCGACTTTTCAAAAGTGCTGAAACCCAGAAAACAATGAGCGTTTGCTTTTTCCATCTCTCTCTGTGATTCCAATTTTTATGTAGGAGACTATATAGAATAGTTTTTGAGCTAATGATCTCTGCTTTTGAACTTTAAAGAATTATTTACTGAAGTCTATATGAGCAAGTACTCCCGAGAAGCTAATTTTCTCAAAAGTTGCAACGAAATATAAACTAAACGCAGATGACAGCTTTTATTGTTTATACGTTTTGTTTTTCCTTCCCAGGCAAACATTATACGACAAGAATAAACAAGTTCTATGCAGCAGCCGAGGCTTTTCTCTTTAAGATTCTGCCAACGCGAGGATATTTTGTCTTGAAAATAAATGTACTTAATAATTTTGTTAAAAGCCTCTCAGAAAAATACGTACCCATCTCATTGCCGGCTTCCAGTCTGAGTGAGCCCCCATTCCCAGGCGACCGATCTCGGTCTGGGATCAGCGAAAACGACCATGCTAAGATCCACCATTTGTCCGCTTTCGACGAAGATTTCCGGCATTGCTGTGTGTCTCAATACTTGCGAGGCACCTGAAATAATAAATCGAAAACAAGTCAGAAACTTTTGCCTATAAAGAGACAATGTTTCGTGAGTAACGGTTAAACTATGAAGGGAAAAGTTTTCCGACTTCGGTCTTGAAAACCAAAAAATTAGCGTAGAAAAATGATAAAGTGGCCAAGAAGATAAAGCTATTTTATTGAGACCTTATGTCTGAATTGGGTATTGGTTAAAGTTTCATCGTTTATTCTATACAGTATGAAAATTATAGCGATTGTAAAGGAACTTTTTCTATAAAAAGTATAGTATCATCAAATGATTTGTTTGTGTGGATTGCGTTATATTGGGAACAAACCCACATTGATGTGAAATTCGAGCTTTGATTTTACAAAGTTTGAAAGTTTGAGATACTTGAAACGTACAAAATTAAAAGTTTTCTCATAGAATAAATTTGTATGAACAGTTGACCAAGCACACTTTTTAATAAGTCATGTATAAAGTTGAAATTTTCAGGGGGTCGTTAACTTTTCAGATACACCCAGTTTCACAGATTTTTAACATTTTGAGGAGTTAGTTGCAGCATTAGTCTTTAATTTGTTTAGATTACTGATCTGAATAACTGCTATACTTTGGTAAATCGTAAAACTTTATTGTTAGTATTAGGTATAAATTTAATTCAACTCGCACGATAGGGAAAATGGGGCAAGATGCAGTACTGTGTTTTGCCAAGGCAGTATCGTGATCTGGTGAAAATGATGCGAAACTGATGTAGCAGAAGGAGGAGCAGCTATTACACCAACCGCGCCAGTCGTCAAAAGTCTTCTGTTCTTCTCTGTTTAAGTAGTTAATTTTCACCAAATCCTAACAGCAGGAATGATGAAAGCAAAGAATGGCATTTCAAGATAGGGCGGATTCCATTTTGCCCCGCGCTTATACAGGGTGTCCCACGACGTTTCACCCAGGTGATAACATATCGAAACGCGTCATCCAATATAATTGAAATTTTGAGGAGCTGGGTAACTATTTGTGTCGCGTACATGTGTCATCCAATTTCATCACTTTCGCTTCAGTTTTGGTCGAGTGGCGGCAACCTTAGATTCTTGAATGCTTGTAACTTATGGTATATTATGGCATTATTCATTAGAAAATTGGATTACAAAATTGGCAATGCCATATTTTTTAGGGCTTTTTTGAAGAAAATGATAAAAAATTACAAAGTTGTAGTATAACATACCCAGGTTCGTTCAGTAAGATTGAACGATGAGAATTTTTATTATTTTATTACCTTTAAAACAACAAATCTTCTGAAAAATGAAATGAAAAACAAATAGGACCTACGTTGTGGATACTTACTCAAATTTACTTACTGGACATGCGCCCGACATAGCAAATATTTGGGAAATTTAAGGGAAGCTGTAATATGTAAAAGAAACGCAAAATTTGTGAAACGCCTCCTTTATTATCAAAGAAAAACGTACCGTTCTCGACCTGGAATTAACGAGGAAAAAGAGAACCGCAGAGAAAACCTCGATTCCCCAAAAATCGAAACATACTGTGTCATTTTAATAATAATTGTGAGTCAATAATTCAATAATTTAGGTCAATAATTCAATAAAATCTGAAACTAGGTACCGCCCCTGTTCTTATGCTAAAATCTTAATTACACACACTACATTCAATCAACACTACCTGTAATCAAAACTGAAGAGTTTTTGGTTAGTTAGCCAGTTTCCCAGCAGGTACTGAGGTCCCATACGGGAAGCTACTCATCTATAGTTGTTTTTGAGCCAATATCTCTAGATTGATTATTTCAATTTGTTAGGATATTCTCTTGTCAGGGTAGGAAAATGTTAGTAAATTCAACAAGGCTCTAATGCACGCTCTAAATCCAAAAATCAAAATCCTAGCACAAAAGACAGCACATAATTTTTTAGGTTTTAATTTACTCTTTATCTGCGTTGTTTACAGTATGAAACGATCCTGGTTAAATACATAAACAATGCACATGTAATAAAAAATGTTATAAACCAACAAAAAAACATAAAAATTGGAAAAAAAAATAATACAGTAGTGTCATGAAAATCCGGATCAATTAAAACCAGACCAATCCGGATTATCAAATTATTCGGATTAGTAAGGCATTTTACAGTTCCCTTTTAAAACTATTTTGAAAAAATAACATACCGTATTTAAGCAAAAAAAACTTTATATTTATTTGATTATTCCACTCATGTTAGAAATCCCATAAGACAAGTGACGATTTTCAGAATTACAGCGAAAATTCTCTTTTCCATTTGTTTAACTAGAGTGAATTACAGCGATAATTCTCCCATGTTATTGTATACATGATTGTCATGCTAATTTTTGATACAAACAAACGGTTTCTGATAGCAACCATTTATTTGTATTGATTGTTAAGATGTTCAAATCGTTTAATACATATTTATTTCCATATTTTTTACATTCTCATACGTGAAATAATCCTCTAAATACCACTTGAGCTTTAAAATGAACCAGATAATTTTTCACTCATGCGTGTTTTCTCTGCAAATTTCACTCGTACTACGGACTCGTGAAATTATAGAAAACACGCAATCGTAAAAAATTATCGGTAATTTTGAAGCTCTCGTGGTATTATCCCCGAAAACTCGTCTATAATCGCTAAATTTTCGTTGAAAATTAAAGTTTTGTGTTTGCGTTTGATAGGTTCCATTTTCTTTAAAGAAAAAACCCACACAGTCAGGAAGGACGCCGCGTATTAAATGATGCGTGTAGACATGTAGAAACTACCTATCCACTTGAACGCAGTTAAAAATTTACAAGTGAAAACCTGTGCTTTTATTTTCAAGAGTCATGTGAATGAATTCGAATTACCTAATCAAGTAAAATCCTGATTACAGAGTACCATCGTCACCAAAAGTAACTGGGACAGCATCATGTTAGCTCTTGTACTATTATATAAATTTTATTGTCAAATATTTGTCAAACTATGATTAAAATGCATTGAAATGAATGACAGTAGAATTAGTCCAGGAGATTTTCATGGATTATTTTTGTCCCAGATACTTTTGGTGACGATGGTACATTTATTGAGACACTACTGTACTTGCGTAAATTGAACTCTCAAAAACCAAATAATAATTAATCCACAAACCTGTACGCTCTCCTTGACACACACTAATAACAAATTGAATTGAACAATTAATTTTAATGCAAAATAGGAATGAAAATTGAAAAATGAATAATTACAGACGCCACGCGTCTAGGAGAGCCGCCCGCTTCTCTCTATTCCAAAGCCTAATCGCCTATTCTCTTTACCTCCCGTTCGGATGGTACCCTCGTTGTCCCTTAAACCTAAACTCTGTGGCGCAGTACATGGTTGCAACATTTAATTTTATTCAGTAAACGTTTTTTGAAAAAAATGAGTTTTGAAGAAATAATATTTTTAATAGGTGGTTCTTCTCAGACGCCCCTTTGGATGAATTTCGAAATATCAAATGTAAAAGAGAGAGAGAGAGAAAATCTTTCAACATCCTAACTATGTGTGTATAACTAATAAACAGCATAAACAAAAGGTCCTACTTAGGTGTTCTATGTGTAACAAACTCATGAATAAATAAACTAATATTATACAATTTCAACAAAATGAACAAAATTCCAAAACAAAAAACATTGATAATATATGAAAACAACAAACAAAATTAATGCTTTGGTTTAGAACAATAATAAAATTTTCAAATTCTTCACATTAAAATTTCCCTTTCTTGTATTAGTATCAAAATTAAACAAAGAGTAAACATTTGCATAAGGCTTACCAACGACTTTATATGGACCTGAGAATAAAGGACAAAATTTATAAATTATTTTATTTTAAATGCCACATCGGATGTGGGACATTCACGCAAAAACATTGAGCAATTATATAAGGTTATACACTTTTCCAGTATGCCCCTGTACTATCATTTCCTGGAAGATTGTCAGTCCAGTCAAATTATGGTCAGTTTGACCACTACGGATACACCAATTGTGAACAAGTGATATTGTGGGACCCGTTGGTACAATCCAATGTTGGTTGTTAGCCTCTCCTTCGAAATGTTCGGAGGAAGCATCGGCAGGTTCCCTCTCGTCGGCAAGAAAACTAGCAGGAGGGTCGGTGTTTGACATCTCGATAAATTCAGTGAACAATTTTCTCCAGCAGTAAATAGTTCTAAACTAACCTCAAAGTTCCAAACAAAAATAACTTGTGCATGTCATGAAAACTGAATACCCCAAAATTGTATTTGTTATTGGAAAAAAACACCGCAGGATTATTGAGAAGAGAGAAAAAAACAAGAACAGAGTTGTCAGATTATTTTTGAACATAGACGCCTTGTTGCTTATAAATTTCAATTAGTTTTACCTATTCTTTTTCGCAATATAATTTGAAAGCAAAAATAAAGATGCTGTTGGGATCCTCGGAATACAATGTATTTTGGTCAAGAAAAACGCTTGGAGAACTAACTTTGGATTTATTTATTTAAATTAATTAAACTTATTGACAAAAATAACAAAGTATACGTAAATGGAGAGAACTGTAAGCTGGGTTGTTAGTCTAATGAGTGAACGCTTCTGAATGCAAAAGAAGCAATTTATATTGTCAACCTGCGTCATTAGGAACAAAGGAAAATGCGTTAAAACTGATCACGCGCTAGCCTCCTGGACCTGATAAGATTTCGTAAAGATAGCAGATGTTTGACCTAGATTATTATCGTTATCAATAGTTGAATGACGCAAATTACAATAATTAATAGATTTCGAAACAGGATATGGAAAAATACAAGAATGATTAAATATAGACTTAATAATATAAGATGTTAACAATATAAAGGTAGTTATGTAGGGGTATAACAATCCATCCCCCTTAAGTGTTTTGCTAGAGGTTTAATGCCTTTAGAAAACACAGTAGCAATAAGTGTTAAGACTAA